TTATTTTATTTATTTTATTTATTTTATTTATTTTATTTATTTTATTTATTTTATTTATTTTATTTATTTTATTTATTATTTTATTTATTTTATTTTTTATTTTATTTTATTTTATTTTTTTGATAAATAGACGAACCAGATCCTCATTTATTTGTAATCGGTTTCCAGGAGATTGTCGAATTAAAAGCGCAACAGGTAAAATGCATGATTTTTCTTGTACATGACCTCAAAAGATTGCAGAGCTCCCAATAAATTTTTAACCCAAAAATTTTTACAAATCAATTCAGATTGTTTCAGCTGATCCAGAAAAATTGTAAGTTTTGTTTCATAACATCTTGGTGTAACATATCCTTTAGTAATTTGTACATATAATTTAGACGCATTTGGGAGAAAGAAATAAGTAAAGTCTTAAATAGTCGTCCTGGCCAACGTTCTACTTATGTAATACTGCGGTCTGGACAGTTAGTTGGTACTGCATTGGTTATTTACGCAAGATCCGATATTGTATCCAACATACGCAATGTTGAATATGTAATGAAAAAAGTATGGATCTTTTTTTTTTCATCTCTAATACACGAATATTTAATAATCCTTTTTTTTGATATTGCAGACGGGTTTAGGTGGCATGGCTGGAAATAAAGGTGGCGTAGCTATTCGCCTTGATTATCATGATACGAGCATATGCTTTGTTACAGCACATTTGGCGTCTGGTAAGAAACGAATATATAACTTTATCTATGCTAAGTTGATTGCTAATATACGATTCCATAATTATCATGTAGGTCAATCAAACTTAGAAGATAGGAATAAAGATTATCATACTATCAATGATGGATTAATATTTCGAAATGGTCGTCGCCTTACACATCATCAGTAAGTAAATGTTAAGGTAAAAAAACAAAAAGCTTATCTGTTGACGACAATTTATTAATCATTATTTTATGCTTAAGGTATGTCGTTTTTTTTGGAGATTTTAACTATCGCATAGATTTAGGAAATGATGAGGTAATTTTATGATACATATATACTTGCCATTCAAATCTCAAACTATTATAGTTTGGGCTTGTCCGCGCCCAAATCCCAAACTCAAGCCCAAACTAATATCTCAAAAACTTTATTAATAATCTTTATTAATAATCTTTATTTGAACAAATGATATATATGTTTATAACTATATATGATATATTTACAAATATTAAATTATAAAAGCAATTTGTTTTTTGGGGGTTTGGGATTTGTCCGGTTTTGCCAGCAAGTATAGATACATATATGAGTATGATACCTCCTTATGAATCTCTTGCAGTATAGGTGACACCATTAATAAAAATGTATTATTAATCAATTGATTTAGAATAAGTGTCATCTATACTGCAAGAGATTTTCTCCTTCTCTTAGTACAAGCAATAAATATCTTATCTGATTAGGTTCGAGAGCTCATATATAAAGAAAATTTCGAAAAACTATTGGAATCTGAGCAGGTAAAACAATAAGTCATTTATGATTCAAAATTTCTGGTAACCAAAATTTTATTTTTAAGTAATATATTTTAAATATTATTTTTTTATAGCTGACAAACCAAATAAACTATGGTTATGCATTCACTGATTATATTGAAGGACCTATCACTTTTTTTCCTACATATAAATATGATAATGGAAGTGATGAATATGACTCAAGGTATTTGTAAATTTCCGATCAAAATTTTTGAATCTGCCACCGCGTATTTATTATTTTTATAATTCTTTTTTTAGCGAGAAGGCTCGAACACCTGCGTGGACAGGTTAGCTTTGTTACCGTGGCATACAACGGAATTTAATAAATATTAATAAATATTAATTTAAATTTAATTAATTTTAGATAGAATTTTATATCGAGGAAATAAAGTTAGTCTTTAGTAAATATGTACTTCTTTGTTACCTTTTTTGGTTTTATTTTTTAGGTATTTAATAAATCTCTTATTGTTTCTTTAGATCCGACAGATCGGATATTCTAGGGCAGAGTTAAGGGTTTCTGATCATCGACCAGGTAAATTATTTTGTTAAAATTTGTTTAGAACCATTGACGAATTTAAAATACTTATATTCATATTAAACTTTGTAGTCATGTCATCATTTGATATAGAGGTAAGCAAATAAACCTATATTTTATTCATATTTATCTCTCATTATTGATTTGTTTTTCAGGTAATTAAATTTGACGAAGCTGCGAAAAAAAAATTACAAGGAGAGCTTTATATCGAGAGACAAAAAATAATGTCGGGAAATAGTGAGAAATCTTTGATATCAGACAACGTTGAAAAGAAAACTATTCATTTCGACAATAATTTCATAACTAATGGTGATGGCGAGCTAGAAAAAACAAATTACGATAGAAAATTTGATAATCTATTTAATGATTTTAAAGATGATACAGTAACTACTAATGATAATAAAATAAAAGAGACGGGACCTGCAGTTGGTATTTTGATTAATGTTGATGAGAATAATAAAAAAGAAGGATGTTCGTATTATTTTACAATGATTTCTAGCAAAGCTTATTTTTAAATTACACGTATTTTTTATAATTGAACTAATACTGTTAAAATTTTGAATTCTGACTTCCCTTAGTACCTCCACCAAGCTCAGAAACATTCCAATGGTGGGCAAATTTTACAGGTACTTTTTAGAAACATTCTCTTAGTCCAATTGTCTAATTTATTTTATTTTATTTTACCAATCTAAAATAAGATTTAATAACAGATAAGTCACCGATGGTTGTAGATAAGAATGGCATAAATCGGAAGTATAGAAGTGTTTCCAGCAATCCTTTTTATGAATTGAATCCAAACTTGACAAGGTCAATGTCACTGAAGCCATTGATACCATCTAAACCTACTTCTTCAAAACCGGTGATAAGACAAAATAGTATGGGAAACATTTTGAGAAAAAATACCTTTACTGAAAATGATAATGAATTTTTAGCAAAGGCACCAAAATTTGGTAATTAAGTTTATAGAGCATAAAATCTTGTAAATCAAAATCCTAAGTAGTATCTGGGTACTATAATTTATGCCATAATAAATTTTTAAAAATTACTTTAGAATTTTTTTAATATTTATTAAATTTATACGTTTAGAATAACATAATGGATATTAGTTTGACTTATACCATAATGTGAAAATTTTTTGACTTTTGTTTATGCCACCCTATATAACCCTAACCGGTCTAAAATCCTGAAAATTCTACAGATAGTATTTAGAAATAGTGTGAATTCATGTGACTAATTAGTTAGCAGTTAGGGTAAGCATTGTTCATAGAGTTTCCAGAAGGTTTAAAGGTCAATTAGAGTTATGTAGGGGTGGCATTAGGGTAAATGGCACGGCTAAAAAATCTTGCGTGCCATATGGCATGCCAACCGCTTAAGTTCGTGCCAGGATACCACCCTGGCATGCCATTAAACCACGCGATTATATACTCAATTGGGATTGGTCAGTTATCGTCTACTATAAAATAACCTTTCGGAATACTTCGGAGCATTGCTCCAATTTTCCTTTCG